TAAATCTAAAAATTTAAAGTATTATAAAGTCAAGTACATTGGATAAAATATTAAATGATAAGAACCCTACAGTAATGAAGTAGCAGGCATATTTGGACAATTATGCCGATAAACAGGATGGAATTTGGGAAAGTAAGTGCATGGTTGCAGCATATCTATGTATAAAAAGTATTTAATTAAATTGTTTATAGAAATGTTATAAATCGAGTGGCTCATTTACGATGTGCTTTTCAACGTGCTAAGTAACAAGTTAAGATGACTGCCATCATGGGCCGGTAAGAAACCGCAAGCAAAGGGCAGACAACCTTCCAGGAAGCTGCCTCCTGTCCCCGAGCCGAAGCTGCAGTTCAGCAAGAGCAGGTCAGCAAATTGCTACCCTGATCAAACGTAACCAAAGCGCTCTGCTGTGATTGCACTCCGTGAAAAAAAACTTGGTGCATGCTGAGAAATATCAAACAAGAAAACTCCGTGATGGACGCCGTGAGATGGAGTAACGCTGTGTGGCAAAGAAATGCGGCCAATTCGACGGGCCTGAAAAATCCAAATTGGCTTTTGTGATCCGCATCCGCGGTATCAACAAAGTTGCACAAAAAGGGCGTAGTTTTACAATTCTGTCTTCGCCACATTAAAACGGTGTGTTCATCAAATTGAGCAAGGCAACCATTAATATTCTACGTATGCCGAACCCCCTATATGGGGTTATCCAAATCTTAAATCAGTTTGTGAATTGATGTACAAACGTGGAATGGTCAAGCGTGTCCCAATCTCTGCTTTGTGATCGAACGCAAATTTCGCGAAGCGCACGAAATTCAGTGCGTTGATTCACTTCACTTCAAGGAAGCCCCCAACTTCCTGTTGCTATTCAAGCTCAGCACATCAACCCGAGGCTGGCGCAGGAAGGCTAATCACTACGTTGAGGTTGGTGATTTCGGTAGCCGTGAGGATAAGATCAACAAATTGCTGCACAAGATGGCTTAAAGAAATTGTTGTTTTGTATTTAAGTAGACAATATAATTTGGCACATCTTCAAAAGAAAATTAAAAAATTCCTGAAGTTGCCTTTTCACGGGTCGATTTCTGTCGACTGGAAAATTTACTTAAGATATCGACTAGCCAAAACGCTTACATTTTACGATTGAATTGCAATTTACACGGGTAGATTTTGGTTAAACGACAAAAATCGACCGTGTAAAGGCAGCTTAAATAACGTTCAAATTAATCACCCCCTTTGAGATTGAAAATACCAATAACCATTTCATAATTTCGAAAATTATTCCATTTATATTTGTTCTTGCATTTTCCACACCACTTGTGAGGTATGCTTTTACGCGCGTTACCGATTTTTTTTTTAATGTGCTCGGTTGCCCAGGAGGCCTATTTTCACCTTTACAACTTAACTTAAACAGAATTAAAACTAAAGCATGCAATATATAAAGAAAATTAAAAGTTGTCTTACATCTAGTAAACTTAAAAAATTGCACATTAAATTCATTTTTCATTATAAAATAAAATTAAATATCACAAATCAGTTTACAAAATGTGGTCTGTTTGCACCCACAGTAAGTTCCCATGAAGCCTAGCCCAAAACGAGCAAATGGGGTCGGAAACTACTAGCCCTAAAAGCATAATGTGGAAAATGTTTGAAGAGCTGCGAAATTGTATTGCAATAATAAAAATAACAGTGCATAAATTGGAAAAAATGGTTTTTGTTTTGCTTTATAATTTTTGGGAATATTGGTTCAGATGGAATTTTTTTATTTGTTTGGTTTTTCAGCTCGTTAATGATGCACCCAGGGTTGCATTTACTGTCTATGAAAATATTTCGTGAAGCGTTCCAAAATTAGCTCCGAGCAACTAAAAGTTGGTTAAGCTTAAATGAAATAGTTTTTTATTAAATATTTATTCCTGGTATTTAGTAAAAAACATCAATACTAATGTATGAAAAACAAAACATCAATGCTAATGTATGAAATGAAGTAAATAAAAATCTACGAATACATTCCATGAATATTTTGTCATAGAGCCATTATTAAATTTAGACATAATTTTGTCAGGCGTTGGTACCTACGTATATAGAATTAATGCGTTGGAGAGAGATAAATATACAAGTTCAACGCGCTAATTTAGGTATCCTTCTTTGTATATACCTGTTACTCGTCTGGCATATACTCCAACTGCGAAAATAATGACAATTATAATTTATGTAGATCCCTGGATAAAAGATTGTCACAAGTTACTTTCGGTAACTCACGATTGAAGTTTGGAATGCAATTTCTCAGAAACACGACTACAGATTTTCTCCAAAGTGTCGGAGAATGCTATGTACTAGTTCATGAAATTCTTAAATTATCTTATTTTTTTAGTTGAGTGTCAACCATTTATGAGTTTAATAAAATTTTGTCGTATACGACATTTGTCAAAAAATTTGCAGTCAGTTTTAGTGATATACGCCAAAATGTGATAACAATTTTTATAAATTAACCATACTTTTTACTAATCATCCTAATCGTGAGTTTCGCCCGAACAAAATTTCGCCAACAATTTTTTCATCCACCTCTAGTGAACACACGCAAACGAAAAGTGACCCGGTTCTAGAAAATGAAACTCATGATAAAGCTGAATATGTCGGAAACTAAAGAAGAACAGATAACTCTATTTGAAAGATCTTGATTAGTTTAGTACGACAGCAATACTAACGCAATTTGTACCAAATAACCGAAAAAATTTTAGTCAATTAGTCGGAAACTAAAGAAGATATCCAAAAACCACAAATTGTCAAAATGACGCTTCCGGCAATTTTCCATCCAGGCGACGATATTTGAATAGGTTTGTATAGTTACCAATAGTCAGTACTAATTTGTACTGGAACCTGCAAACTTTTACTGGAAAAGTGTATGATAACCCAAAAAATTTGCAAGAGAGCACTGAATCGAGAGCGTAACAACACGAGAGAGCTGCAAATTCTTGCTAGTGAAATTTTTACTAGCAGAAATTAGCTAGCAGAAGAAGAAGAAGAATAAATGTCAAAAGAATATATAAAAAGTGGTGTTACTAGCTCAGTTGATTTTGTGTATGTGTTTCGCCGCACGGCTTCTGATATCAAATTGAAAAATTTTGTTTGAATTTCTACACACACTTACAGGTTTTGACAGTTTATGCCGCCAAAGCAAAAACAAAATACATGTAAATTTTTGTTTTTGTACTCCTGCTATCACCTTATATTGATTCCCCTTGGCCCAAACAAAAGTAGAATGAGTGGAAATCATAATATTAATGAAGTACTGGACAGTGTAAGTGCTTGTGTGTAAAGCAAAGAGTTTAAAACTGATTTATAAATAGTAAAATGTTTACAGCAGATTGTCAAAGCAGTGCAACAACTGTTCTCTTGCAAGTTTTTGCTAGTTTTGTGTTCAATAACTTCTTCTGTTAGTTTTCTCTTCTTCTCAATTTTACGCTCTATTTTGCTTTTACGCTCTCGCTGCAATGTTTTACTGGAGAAGTTACTATACAAACCTAATGTTACTCGCATATTTTCGAGCCTGTATGTAAATTTTTGGAAAAAAGGTTAAAAAGTATATTCATCTGCTGAAAAGATATTTTCGCAGATTCACAATTTATTTAAAATAAATCTATCAGCCCTATCTCCAATTCCATGTGAATAAATCTCTTCAGTGCTTAAATAATTTTCACCACATTAAATAGCTGCACAACACCCTAATTGCCGAAAACGCGTTGCTTGCAACACTAGTCCTTTATGGGGACCAAACTTGGTAAAAAAAAAATGGCTAAGTTTGTTTACTGGCTATACTGAGCTATATACTGCATTGTACAAAAAAACTGCACATGATGACCAATTTGACACATGAACGAAAGACACAAGATCACGCGGGAAGGAAAAAACGAAAAAAGTTATTTTCTAGCTGCCGAAATCTCGACGCCATCTTTGTTATAAGAAGTAAACAACGAAGAGAACGGAGAAAACCGCGAAATTGTTGAACGCATGAAAAATCATTTTTATTATGCAAATTCTTCTATAAATCATGCCGTTGTGTTAAATTATTCTTTATCTTATGTGTACACACGTTATCACAAGTGAAAATGAAGAAAATTGCAGTAAAAAGCTACCACCAAATTGTAAACAACGAAGAAATGTAAACAAACTCAACTTTTCAACTTTTTTCCTAAATGCGATTCTAACGGGCTAGTCTCCAGCCCGCGTGATCTTGTCTTTTTGGTTCATGAATTTGACAACAAATCTTTATCAGTACAAGTCACATTTCTGCGTTCAGACACGGAAACTAGAGTTGTTGTTATCGGCGATTTCTCTTTTGGTGCTGCCAGTCGCCAGTTTGTTTTGTTGACATCCTAAAGTTACGCCATTTCGTCTTGAATGACATTCCCTTGTATTAGTGTAGAGACAAAAATATCCAATCAGCTGTTCAATCAACACCACCTTCTATTGATGCGCCTTGGCACAAAGCGTGCTGCCCGAGTACGACCAACTCGTTACCCGTCCTCTTTCCTCGTCGCTCTTTCCCCAACAAGCTTCGAGTTGCCGCAACAAAAGTTTCCGTGTCTGAACAAAGACTTAATATGCCATCTTGCAAAGCAAACAACGAAAACCAAAATTAGCCAAAATTATTGTTAGCCACTTTAAACGCACAATTTAGGTAAAATGATGCAACAAAATGCTTTAAAATGTGTCGTCTTGTTGAATTAACTCTTCATTACTTGAATAAAAGTGTAAAATAGTGGTGCTTGTGATGTAAACAAACGCTCAGCTGACGAACCGGCTTTCGCAAACTTTTTTCTCAAAACCAGTTACAAATACAACGTCGCGTTCTTACGTGATCTTGTATTTTTGGTTCATGTTGTATCAGTCAAAGTTTTCTTTAACCCTCACTTCACACCTGACATTTTTGTAAAAAAATAAGGCATTCACCTATATTTTACATTTTCATTTAACGGGTTCTTAATTACTTTTACCAGGAACAGCAACGGTTTGTAATAAAAGATATAATTCAAACGTTCAAATTGTATTTATATATTTCCGATCAAATTTAGCCGTTACTTAATATTTTTTTGGACAATTTTTATTCCTTCGATCATGTCATAACCGTTACTCTGCGTTCAAACACGGAAACTCGAGTTTCTTATTATCGGCGATTTCTCTTTTGGTGTTGCCCTTTGCATTCACACACAGAAACTCTTTTGTACGCAATTGTTGTTGTCAGCTGTGAATCGCCAACTTGAATTACTCAGACGAACGAGAGCACAAAGCGTGTTTCCCGAATACGGGCGACTCGGTACCCGTCCCCTTTCCTCGTCGCTCTCACCCCTACAAGCTTCGAGTTTCCGAAACAAAAGTTTAAGTGTCTGAACGTCGACTTATTGTCAGATTTAATTTTATATAAAATATAAGATTTAAATCGGTCATATAGACGCAGTCTCTACCATAACGGTTAAAGTTAGTCGAAGAAAAGTAAAATCCAAAATGAGGAATATTTTTAATCGAAAAAATAACAAAATAACTATTAAATTTGACCAAAGAACATAAATTTTTAATAAATCTAAAGAAATTTATATGGATCTGAAAAAAATCTTGATTTCAAAGTATGTATGTATACTTTTGATCCCTGGCTTATACTGGTTGAATTTTATATTTTGAGCCCATATAGGCTAGCCAAAGTAGGCTAAATTACAATTTACATAGCTTGGAAAAAATCATTGTTTTTTAATTTATTTTATTTTTGTAAAAATATTTAACAAACAAATAAATCTCAAAACCAGCAACTTTTAAAGCAAAAACCAAACTAAAAAACTGATTTCATTTTCGAATACATACATACATTTGAAAATAATTTTTTTTTTGAGCAAACAAAAATTAATAAATAAATTTTATTTCCTGAGATTATTTTAAATTCTGAACGCAGATATTAGAGATTTTTAGGTACCGGGAGTCCATATATGTAGCAAATGTGCTGTTGCTTTTTAAACTCGAATATGCTTTGGTCGAAAAAACATTTGTATTGACGTAAAAATTTTTCTTTAAAATTAATTTTCCGCACCATCCCTACAATGCATTTCGACGTTTCCAAACATTTCCATTTTGACATTTTTTGTACTGTACTGCTTTTTTTTGACAAATAAACATTAATGGCTGCCAATCTCGAATGAAGAAGCAGCATCAGTGAATTTTTCGCTCCAATTTGCAAAAACTTGAGAAAATTGTTTTCCAAAATCGAGTGTGTGTTTAAAAACAATTTGCAAAAACGCAGCGTGGATAATATTCGTGCAGGATGTGGCCGCAAGCGTTGCAAATGACTAGAGACGAGTGTCGGGGCATGTTGAGAAGACTTGGTAAGAAAGTGGCAATCCAACGAAAAAGCACTGGTGCATCAGGAACTATAAGCGACCGTAGAGCAGCACCCGTCGCTCAAAAGATGATCCTTTTTTTTGGAGTCATGTGTTTTATGATTGTGCAACGTTTACTAACTATAGAACTATGTTAATTGTACTATTTGCAGAGCTGGAATCATATTCGCATGTGATTAGTGTGTTTCGCGCTCAGGGTGGCCTCAGCGAAAACAAGGCCAAACTTCTTGAGGAGTTGCGTGGCATATTTCACATCTCGCAAGAGCGTCATCGTGCTGAAGCGCGTCGTGTTGCAAACGATGAACAATTGTGTACCATTGCAGAAGCGTAAGTGTTAAGGAGATTTCATTCGCACAGTTACGAAATAAGATGAAAATTTAGTGTAAACTATAGTGCCTCTGCAAAGTGACTACTTGCTGTTAATACGCAAATATGTATATTGTGTTGCTTTCTTTTTCATATGCACAGAATTTCTGGTCCAAACACTTGGCAGGAATGGTCGCGAGAAGGACGTCGTTCGTATCCGATGTTGCCGCGTGTGGCGCCACAAACAGCGCTCGCCTTAATTGCTAATAATGTGGCCGCAGAGACATCTTCTGAAAATGCTAAACTACCTTATCCTACTGATACGGCAGCTGCTGCTGCAGAAAATGCCAATACCGTAAATGCAATTGCTGGGCGCGATGGTGTGGCGCCTTGGGAAACAAAACGAGAAGTCTATGTGGTCACTGATGATCCTGTAAGTTGTTCATATATCTGTGTTTATGTATGTATAAATGTTTGGAATTATATAATGCTGTAGGGATAGTAAATTAAAAGTACAGTCTGCATGTGTATAGGTACATAGTCTGCGAATATCTAGGAGAGAATAGTACTTTTAAACTTTTAAGTCTAGATTTATACAAAAAATGAATTCATATTTATTGAATGCAACCATACATTTCTACGCATATATGTATGTACATATATATATATATATATATATATATATATGTATACACATATGTTAACGCGCAAATGAATATCAGTACAACCCAAGGTACATTGTAATGTGCCTTGGTACAACCCTTTGCAGTACAGTAATATAGTTTCTTTTGACATACATATTTAAAATGTTTAATAATTTGGATTTTTGGTTACGATCATAAGAACACTATTAAATAAATTTATGTGCATATGTAGATATATGTATGTCTGTAGATGAGGTCGTATGTATGTTTGTTTTAAGATTAATGTACATGTACATATCGCACACCGTCTTCAAAAGAGTCACAACTCAAAATTTGGCATTTTTGAGATTATGTACTAAAAATGTACACAGAGCTTTTATTTACCTTTCAGCAAACGCGGGAACAAATTTTTGTTATAATTTGTTACAAATTATTGTTGCTTTTCCACAATAAGTTTTCATTAAAAAACGGCCTCAAGCTCAATAAACAAATTATTGCTGCTTTTCCACAATAAGTTTTCATTAAAAAAAAAACGGCCCCAAACTCACTAAAGATTGTTGAATATAATTGTTATAATTTGTTTAAAAAACCTAAGCTAAAGTCGCCCTTGCCCATAGGATTATCTTGTGCTATGAAATAGTTTTTCGCATTTTCTGACAAACGTATTATTTTGAGTTGTGACTCTTATTAAGACGCTGTGCGATATGTTGTTTGTTTTCGCGTGGCTGTTCAACAAACCAAACGAAATATTACAATTCTATAAACATATATCTATATTGTATTGAGGTTAGTATTTAGAGTTTTAGCTATATAGTATAAACATTTTTAAAATTCCTTATTAAGCAGTTTTACTTTCAACTATGTTTGTATGTATTCCCATTGTCCATGTTCATCAAATGATAATCAAACTTGCAGCAACACTTTGAATTAATTTGTTATCATTATTTTTATTAAAAAAAAAAGTTCAAAATGCCAGATATTCCATCCGGCAATAAGAAAACCCTGAAGCGTAACATATCAGACAGCCACACTGGCAGCAACAAGAAACGCATCGTTAGCGATTCTTCGCCCAGTAAACATCAGCAGCACCAAAAGCAATTCCATCACATAACAGCCAATAGTTCTCAGCCAACTTCACCCAGCGGCGGCGCAAGCAATATTCGCAAATTATATCACAACCATAACAACAAATCCCCACAGCATCGTTTGAATCAACCACAAATGCCAAAACAAAAACTGGCAACGAAAAAATCTCCCGTGGCAGCCGGACAAAATGTTTCATTGCCTGTAACGCCTGTGAAGCGTCAGGCGACACCAGCTAAAAGTGGTCGAAAATCGAACTCGAAAATGCAAGAACAAAAGCAACAACAGCAAATACTGCAACAACAACATCAACATTTGCTGTCGCAAACAGCCATTCGCAATATTCCACATGTGGTAGGTGAGGGCGATATAGATGAGTTGAATAACGAACAGAATTACGCACAGCCACAAATTGCTGCTTCGAAGAAGGATATAACGAAGAATCTGACCAAATTACAATTGCCAAATGTTATTACTTCCCCGGTATTGTCGGCGGGGCCGGCGAGCGCAGTTTCACCAACCGTGATAGCCCCAGCAACAGCGTCCGGCACACCATTATCTATGAATGCTAGCGCTACACGTATTGATGCTCATCACATGACTGCTGCCACATCACCACCTGTGGGCAGCGGTGGTAGCGCAGCAATTACTATTCCAACAATGGTGCATAGCAGAGGAGAGAAGCAACTTATTTCAACACCTGTGCAAAAGATTATACTTGAAGATCGTCTGCCACCACAACAACCACCAAGTTTGATAGGCTCCTCATCAGCAGCAGCATCAGTTGCGTCCGGGGTTGTAGTATCAACAGCGTCCACATTACCAATGCAATCGATATCCGCACCCCAGATAATGACATTGCCGCAAATATCAGCCGCTGCAACGAAATTGCGTGCAGTCAATACAACTATTATACCACCCGGCGCCAAGCTTCCCACAAAAAAGTTTACAAATTCTACATTTATCAGTGCTACTGGTATAGGTACGCATGGCAATGAAGGCAACACAACATCCGCCGGACAGGGGTTTAGCATAATTGAAGGCAATAATAATCCGACTAATTCACAAACTTTGCCTGCTGTGCCGACGCATACGCCTCCGGTAGTCATACAAATTCAAAGCACAAATAGCGCAAGCATAGCCCACGAGGGTACTGCAACAGCAACATCGACACCTACACCGGCACAAGGTAAAGTGTTGACGACAAAAATATTGCCAGCTGTGCTTAGTGGTGCCGGTACTGTGGTGGCAGGTGGTGGTGCTAACGCTGGTGGCAGAGTAAGCGTCGGCGGCAATACCGTCAATATTACGAAAATTGAAACGCTCAATAATGGCGCCACGCTTGTAAGTGCCGGCAGCGGAAGTGGTCCGAATGTTTCATTGAAAAATATGGGCTCAACACTACTGCTCTCACCCAATCAAAGCAGTGGTACTGCTGGCAGTACACTGTTCTCATCACTAACTTCGGGTGCTCCGATCTTCCGCAAATCACAGTTTATCAAAGCGGGCACAATTGGCGTGAACACTAGCAGCGTCGGAAAGGTAAGTGCTAATATGGCTTTACATTACAGATCGTAAAAATTGACCAGAAAACGCAATTCTGATACTGTAAATTTGCAGCCATATGCTTTTAATTAAAAAAGATTTCTATTAACAATGGGCTAGTGAGATATTTTTTGATGTTAAATTTTTCACGTCTGCTGAGATTTAGAAATTAGGTTATTTTTTGGATATGATAGGAATCTTGAGTTTTACAGGATCCTTCCTGTTGGGAACTCTGTCGAGATTTTTTGTGTTTTCTATAGATTTATATAGAACCTCTTAATGTATTTATTATTTTTCGAGACATTCAATATTCTTCCGGTTTTTAGGGACCGTTGACATTTTTTCGAAATCTTTCGGACTTTTCTTAGGATTTATCCAAGGCACATTAAACAGGTAGTATCAGTAGAGCAAAAACAACATTTGCGTGTATTTTGTTGTTGCTTCTGGTATCGAAAGTGTCAAAAACTGTTCTGAATTTTTTCTTCTAAATCAAAGCGTGACATGTGAAATACAAAAAATTATAAAAAATAAAAAATTGAAATTGGAAAAAATAAAAATTGATGCAACTTTCTTTCCTAGTAAATTTGTTTGCTTCTCGAAGCATTGATCCATCCTTTGCAAGGCCCAGAAATCAGCGGTCGTGCTGCTGAGTTGGGCGAACATTCCAAAAGCTGCTATTCAATCGCTTGTGTTGTATGGAAAAAGGTTTCACATGCAAATGGATTTTAACAATTCAGAATTTTTGTGAGAAAAAATTAAAAATATTTGACATTTTCGAGACCAAATAATTTGAAACTAAATCAAATCAGCTGCTCTACTGATACTACCTGTTCAATGTACCTTGGATTTATCGTATATTTTGTTTGTTTTTTTGATTTTTTGTGGTTTCTCATATTTTATTACTCGAGACCTTTGGAATTTTTTCGAGACTTGTTCTTATTTTTTGGGGGCTAAATTATAAGAAACAACAAAAATATTTATTTAAAAAAATGGCTTAAAGAGCTTTAGTTTTACTTAAGAATTGAGGAACTTGCCACTAAAGTGTTTTTTTTTGCAACTGAAGTACTTACATACATATATTTTTCATTTCTTCAATCTATTTTGTTTTTGCTTTTTAATCTTTCAGCTTTCTGGCACCTTTACTACTTCCAATTCTGGTCCTCAAATCATAAGCAATATCAAATTGGCACCAGCAAATGCCACTACAAGTGCTACTTCCATCAGCAGTTCGGGTCTACAGCAGCAACAATTGACAACAACATCACCTTTCTTACAACATCAACTAAAGAATATATCAACGACTGGCATACGAACCCCCGTAAAAATATGCCATTCATCAAACGGAAAAGTATTCATACAACCTGCCACTTTGGATGCGGCTTCCAAAGGGAAATTACAAAGCGCTGTTTCGCATAAAATCTTATCCAACGCAGTTGTGGGAACTAGCAACACAGGTGCAGGCACGTCAGCGACAAATCAACCACAGCGTATTGCTATACAGAAAGTGCAAATCATACCGGCACCACTGAATTCGCCTGGCAATTTAACTGGTTCTTTCCACACGGCCCACACGCAATCAATCGCAACAACAGGTACTCTTACCTTTAGTGGCAATAAAGGCAATATGATATTTGTGCCATCGGCTGGTGGACGCACAACATCAGGCACCTTAACGTTGTCGAAAAGTGCGAGTGTTGGTAGTGGTATTGTTGCTAGCAAAGTGCAGCCAACCACCCAGAACTCAGATGCAGGGAAACCAAATGTAGTAATAATTGGTTCGTCGCCAGCACAATTAAGCTCAAGTACTTCAAATAAGACAACAACTTTCATTGAAGCTGCCAACAAGTTGAATGTAGCCTCATCGGTGTCTGCCGGCAATGCCAGTACAATACAATTGGAACCCAATCAAATGATTACCGAAGATACTCCAGTTGATATTCTTAATATGCCAATTACAGTTGATAGTGGCGATGGTACCAATATCACAATGGGCAATAATATCGGCGATACAGTTACGGTATTGCCAACATCGCTCGTCGAGAGTGCACAGCAACAGCAACCGTCCACAATAATTTTGGGTGCTACCGATTGGGAAATGGAATTGGATCAGGCAACTGCAGTTGCAGCAGCAACAAAAGCAGCCTCAAAATGCTCAGAACATCATCGGCAGTCAAGTAGCCCTACTGGCAAACAGCATAGTTCACAAAAGCAACAGCAAATGCATGACAAGGAATCGATTGATGGTGAAACCATTATTATCGATGATAGTTTCGAGGATGTTATTGTAGAAGAGCAGGAGGATGGTGATACTGATGCTGGTACTGAGACCGAAGGCACAATCGATGACGGTGAAATAAACGAAGGAGAAACAGGCGAGGATACAGCCGGCGGAGAGGGTCAAGAAATGACCGAAAAAGCATACACAGTCTTTAGTGGTAATGAAAGTGAAAGTGAAGTGTTAACAACAACAAAACCAAGAGACACGGTAAAATTAAAAGTCGGACGCATGCAGAAAATATATAACAACACCACTGCCACCGCCACTGTAATCACAGATGATGATGAACCTATAGAAGTGATTGACGATGATGAAGACGACCATGAAGCGACTGTGGTTGGCAGCCAGAAAAAGTACACCAAAAGTACACAGCAGGAAAGTGAAAAGGGGCAGAGAATATTGAAAGTAGCAAATGCAAACAACGAAAGCAGAAATAATAATTCGGCTAATGCTGAATGTGACACAGATGCAGGATTTGACGAGACAATTGGTAAGAATTTGTTAAAAGGAAAAAAATACATACATATGTATATGAAAAGTTTTAGTGTTACCAGATCAGACAATTGAGAAAATCCACAAATTTTTTTATTTTTTTCCATTTTTAGTTGCCGACATTGATGAAAACACCGCTGTCGAATATATCGAAGACGATAATACACACGCAACGCATAAACATGAAAAAAGTAAGGTTAACGTTTTAGATGTTACGCGCCCAACTACCACAAAGGTGCAACTGGTGAAGGAGAGTGAAGTAATCTTGCTGGACGAAAATGATGGCACAGCGCCAACAGCAACAACAACGCTTGCCACAGCAACTGTAACAGCAACAGACGATGCTGCCGTAGAAGAAGAAATCGTAGTGGAGTCTGAAGACACGGCGAAGGTGCTTAGCGGTAGTGGTGCCTCGACTACGATAAATGTTGCTCCGTCAAAATCAGCAGCAGTCGCTACTAGCAGTGGCAGTGAGACGTCGGGCATACAATAGATAAACTAAGCTACAATAAACTGCAAGTGGCATGCCTAGGTACTGACGCATATTTTTTTACGGACTTCTTGATTTTAAATACACATATAGCAATAGAAAGAAATGGTAGTGAGAAAGTGTGTGGCGCAGGCAAAGTATAATAGTTAAACAAGTAACAAATTTAAACAGGTAATTTGAAACACATTTTGGAAAATAAATGTAGCATTAGTGCACTCGTATGGGAGTGGTTGTCAAAGAAAAACGGTAGTGGTAAATAGCCACAACATAGAATTACAGCTATAGGTGAAGTAAAGTAAATAAAGATTGTTTAATAAAGGACAGCAGATTTAGTTACTGTGAAGGCTATAAAAAAGGAAATAATGCATTAGCACGATATTTAAAGAATACTATTACTAACTGAAGTCGGTTGGATTATAGTTTATAAATAATATACAGTTTTTTGGTTTTTGTAGCGATCACTTTGTAGAATATATTTTTGGTACACTTGTAGGCTGGTGTGATCTATTATTTAATGGTGCAAATAAAACACTTATTCCACCTTCGTTGCCCAACGTTTCGCTGAAATTTCCAGCATCATCAGGGGCCACTATGTTTTTTATAAATCCAACAAAGAAATACAACGAAAAAACAAAAGATGTTCAAATGAATAATAAAAGTTGCCATACATGTGTTTGTAAAAACAAAGACAACAATTATGGACTATGGATAGATATGTATTAATATTAAGTTTAAAGCAAATGTTTAATATTATTGTGAGTATATGTTCTTTGTATTAGTCCATAATTGTTGTCTTTGTTTTTACAAACTCATGTATGCCAACTTTTATTATTCATTTGAACATCTTTTGTTTTTTCGTTGTATTTCTTTGTTGGATTTATAAAAAACATAGTGGCCCCTGATGATGCTGGAAATTTCAGCGAAACGTTGGGCAACGAAGGTGGAATAAGTGTTTTATTTGCACCATTAAATAATAGATCACACCAGCCTACAAGTGTACCAAAAATATACAGTTTGATTGAAAATAACATTTTTAAAATGATTTGTTTTAAATAAATTATATTTCTTTTGTAAAATTATGTAGTGTAAGTAATCTAGTGTAAATTAAGTACTCACATGGTTTTTTATGCGCACCCACGACGAAAACCTTAATACAATTGAATTCGTATATAGTACTAGTAGAGATAAGTACCAGTGGGGGAATAAAACAACTAAGTTTTATTTTCTAAGATGTACATAGTAGTGTTATGTTTAGGTTGTAGATGAGCTTCATAAATCATTGGTGAAATATTTGGGCAGGAAAAACAACAATGACATCAGTGGCAGCACATTTTTCTCGATGAACGTTGAGTTTAATGCAGGCGCGGGTTGTTTATACATAAATGAATCCTTGTTATTTTCGAAAGAAAAGGTTAAAATAAACACATTCATACATACATTCATACATCATTTGTTCGTATACTAACAAAACAAAAATCGTTAAATTAGTCACTTACGCATGCACGCACTTGTGTACATAAATATGTCATATATAAACACATGTATATACATACATACATGCATACATACATATGTACATAGATACATAGAATTGTTTAAAGCAACGCAATTCACAGCGAGATTATAGGTTAGTAGTTGGGATTTGTTCCAATATTTTTTCTAACGCATAAATTACTTTACAACCGACTCGCAAACAATTTAACGTTTAATAGAGTTAGTGTATACGTATGTATTTAAGGTTGGGCAACGGCGTGTAAAGTATATAAATAAATGAAATAAAGCTTGCAGTGAACAGTAGAACATTTGCACAGGACATTGTTTAGTAATAAATGAGATCATTTAAAACGTTTTGTTTCTTTTCCTAATTAGCTTAGTATAGTAAGCAATAAAAATAATAGAGTAACAAGTCCAAATTACAAAATTTTAGTAGCCTATTAAAAAAACAGTAATTTTCACTTGGAAACTACCAACGGAAATTCTCTTTTGAACTTTGAATCAAAAAATTTATAAATAATTTGATTTAATTACTAGTTTGTATTTAGCCATGCCAGCTACGACCAAACCAGTGGGGAGATTCTGTAACCAGTTAGCGAACATTTTCGGATCGCTATCGTAATTTGCCGACGTTTGTTATGAATGTCGAAAGTTGCGATCCGAAAATTGTCACCAACTGATTACAGAATCTGCCCACCGCTCTTTCTCCACAATATGCATCCAATCATTTTTCATACCTATTTCAGCACAGAATTTCTAACAATCTAAGATAATGCCTGAATTCATAAACTTAATATTCTTGACTAACTCAACCAAAAAAAAAAATTACTATTCTTTATTTGCGTTCTCATTTAAAACTAAGCAATTAGCAGCTATAGTTTAAAAAGCGCAAATCACAAAGTAACATAATTACTAGACTAACGTTTATATGTACAGTTAAATAATAAAAAAAAACAGAGAATTATGTAAAAAAAGGACAAAAATAATAACGCCAAAATTATACAAAAATAAACACCTTCTTTAGCGGTACATAGTAGTGACGGAAAAACTAATAAATAAATGAAAATATACATACGTACATACATGCATACATAATCTATTAATTGTTGAATAATACATGTCTGTAATGTTTACCTTTAAAACTTTGCTATTATTAATACCATGATAAAAACATAGCAAGGTAGAACTGTTCTCTCAATTTATCGGCCATGATTTTTTTTTTTAAGTAAAATCCCAGCCAGCAAAATCATCGTAAACAAGCTCCCCAGCCAGCAAAATCGTCGTAAACAAGCTCGTAATTGGATATTTTCTCGAAGAAAAACCGGATTAAAAATCGTTTATGATAGCCGTTTACGACTCTTTTTCGAGCACTCTTTCGCTTTAAATTGTGCATCGCCTACGAACAGTCGTAAACGGATCGAAAAAGCATTCGTATGCGAATCTTTTTACGTCCGTTTTTTAATTGTAAACGAGTCTCGTAAACGATTAATTTACGTTAAAAAAGCGTTTTTTTACACTGCTTTATCTACTGTTTTTGAATGCTAAAAATAAAGGCAATTAATAAATTCAAATTATTGTAGTTATTTTATTGAATGGAATTATAATTAATAAATATTTATAGTACCGGATCAAAGTATTGGGACAGAGAATTTTTCGCAATGTGTGCAAAGTTTGTTACTTGAATTTCTTTTCGCACATTTTTTTTTTTTTAATATAGTTAGTATGAAGACCTACTTTCAAATCAGATTTTTGAGAAAAATTCTAAGTATGCAGTTTTATATCCTATTATATTTTAGTATAACATAGTGCAAGCTTGAAGTTGCCAGAAAACCGCGTTGATTTTTGGCAAGTTTTTTACGCAGTTTCTTCCATGCAAATTATGTGCAACATTTTTTTTTTGTATGGAAGAAACTGCGTATAAAAAATTTTCAAAAAACAAAGAGGTTTTCTAGCTATTCAAGCGCGCACTTTATTATACTAAAATTAAATGGGCTATAAAACTGCATACTTTGAATTTTTCTAAAAAATCTGATTTGAAAGTAGAACTTCATACTAACTATATTTTTATAAAAAACAATTAGAGAAGAAATCAGAATAAAAAACTTTGCATTCATGGCGAAAAATTCTCTGTGCCAAAATTTTTTCCCGGCACGGTATATGTGAAGATATTTTCAAATAAATAAGTATTAAAAAACTATCTATTAACAAATTAACAATTAAATAAGAGGGGTTTAATATATATTATAAAGTAGCTGAATTTATTTTTTATCTTTTTTGCCGATAGGCTGCAAATTTTTTTGCCGGTCGTGTGCATATTGGAAGTGCTTCTTTGCAACGGAAATAAAAACTTCTTCGTCGGAGTTAAATTTTTGACGAAAAGCACCTAAGAAAATAAAGTGAAAGATTAAACTCCATTGGAAATCGGAAAATTTAATTAAGTAAAAAGTGGTAAAAAATATTAATATCCGTACTTCTTATTGCCGCAGTCGTTGCCAAACCAATAGCTCTGCTTTTGGTACCAGTTCCCTTCCACGTGAAAAGTCCTGTTACCTCATCTATAATAATTTTCCACCAGCACGTTCTTAAATATTTATCTACATTTAAAATATTTAAATCCTTTAGTATTGCTCCGCGCAGCCTGTGAAAGAATTGCCAAACTCGTTAAATTAATTTGTATTTTTGAATTACATATGTAGTAGCTACTTACAAGAAGTTTAATTATAAAAGAAAGTGGTAGATCGTCCTTTGCATTTGCACCAGTCTGCCAGTAAATTACATACTTAATAATTTACTTAAATTGAATATTTAACAAACTACTTACTTATAAAATATTGTGATTGAAGAAAAATTTTCAACAAAACTAAAATTTTTTTCTTGTGCTGACAAATTACTGCAAGCCTCTTTCCATAATATTTTTTTACGAGCTTTTCTCTAACTTTTTGGCGATACGAGAATCCCTCGTAACCCAGCCAGCAAAATCATCGTAAACAAGCTCGTAATTGGATATTTTCTCGAAGAAAAACCGGATTAAAAATCGTTTATGATAGCCGTTTACGACTCTTTTTCGAGCACTTTTTCGCTTTAAATTGTGCATCGCCTACGAACAGTCGTAAACGGATCGAAAAAGCATTCGTATGCGAATGTTTTTACGTCCGTTTTTTAATTGTAAACGAGTCTCGTAAACGATTAATTTACGTTAAAAAAGCGTTTTTCTACACTGCTTTATCTACTGTTTTTGAATGCTAAAAATAAAGGCAATTAATTAATTCAAATTACTGTAGTTCTTTTATTGAATGGAATTATAATTAATAAATATTTATAGTGCCGGATCAAAGTATTGACACAGAGAATTTTTCACAATGTATGCAAAGTTTATTACTTGAATTTCTTTTCGCACATTTTTTTTTAAATATAGTTAGTATGAAGACCTACTTTCAAATCAGATTTTTGAGAATAATTCTAATTATGCAGTTTTATATCCCAATATATTTTAGTATAACATAGTTCAAGCTTGAAGTTGCCAGAAAACCGCGTTGATTTTTGGCAATTTTTTCACGCAGTTTCTTCCATGCAAATTATGTGCATTTTTTTTTTGTATGGAAGAAACTGCGTATAAGAAATTGTCAAAAAACAAAGAGGTTTTCTAGCTATTCAAGCGTGCACTTTATTATACTAAAATTAAATGGGCTATAAAACTGCATACTTAAAATTTTTCTAAAAAATCTGATTTGAAAGTAGAACTTCATACTAACTATATTTTTATAAAAAACAATTAGAGAAGAAATCAGAATAAAAAACTTTGTATTCATGGCGAAAAATTCTCTGTGCCAATATTTTTTCCCGGCACTGTATATGTGAAGATATTTTCAGATAAATAAATATTAACAAACTATCTATTAACAAATTAACAATTAAATAAGGGGTTTAATATATATTATAAAGTAGCTGAATTTATTTTTTATCTTTTTTGCCGATAGGCTGCCAATTTTTTTCCGGTCGTGTGCATATTGGAAGTGCTTCTTTGAAACGGAAATAAAAACTTCTTCGTCGGAGTTAAATTTTTGGCGAAAAGCACCTAAGAAAATAAAGTGAAAGATTAAACTCCATTGGAAATCGGAAAATTTAATTAAGTAAAAAGTGGTAATAAATAATATTATTATCCGTACTTCTTATTGCCGCAGTCGTTGCCAAACCAATAGCGCTGCTTTTGGTACCAGTTCCCTTCCACGAGAAAAGTTTTCCTGCCTCATCTGTAATATTTTTTTTTAATAAATCATTTATTGACGCTAGTACGGATAAGGCTTCGGATTTCGCACGCCTTTTTAAATGAGAAGCCATATTATCAATAAAACATTAAGTTCAATAACTGCAAAGACCTAATAAACTAGCAAATTAAAAAAATAAATAACTATAAACTTACGAGATAGGGGAATTAAACGTTTAAATCCTTTAGTGTTACTCCGCGCAGCCTCTGAAAGAATTGCAAAACTCGTTAAATTAATTTGTATTTTTGAATTACATATGTAGTAGCTACTTACAAGTTTAATTATAAAAGAAAGTGGTAGATCGTCCTTTGCGTTTGCAGCAGTCTGCCAATAAATCACATACTTAATAATTCTCTTAAATTGAATATTTAACAAACTACTTACTTATAAAATATTGTGATTGAAGAAAAATTGTCAACAAAACTAAAATTTTTTCTTGTGCTGACAAATTACTAAAAGCCTCTTTCTATTATATTTTTTTGTTTTATCGTTTACGAGCTTTTCTCTAACTTTTTGGCGATACGAGAATCCCTCGTAAAACATAATGTTCGTAAAATGTACGTTTTCTTGCTGGCTGGGTAAAAAATTGAAATTGTTCGAAATTGTTGTTGCTTGAAATTGAAAATGAAAATATGTGTGTGAGTTTGTGAGTAAATTTAAAAATTATATTAGGTTCATTCCTTATCTTTTTGGACTAAAATCTGAAAAGTGTCAAAATGTCAGAGCGTAAGCAAAATGGGCTCACTAAAAGAGAATAACAGGAAAAGTAAAGGAACGCAAAAAACCAAATTTTTAGTCCAAAGAATGGCAACAACAAAGCTAACGTCAAATAAGAATGTAAATGTATGTACAAAACACCTTCACACAAGCACAAGCACAATAAACACTTTCTATATCAATTATTTTTTACCTCCTTCCAATTTGAATTAACTTTTTTTACTTTTTAGATTATTCTCACTTTTTGCGTATTCTTTAATTTCCGTTAATTTAAATTCAGTCGAGTTTGACACTTTTCAGGATTTTGCCAGAAAAAATTCTTCTGACTAAATCTGACTACTTCGGACTGATGAGAGTCACTCTCACCGAGTGTTGCTCTCTCATTTTTACTGTCATTTCCGAGTTAAGGAACGCTTTTTGGACTAAATCTGACTACTTCGGACTTTTTCTGACTATTTCTGGGAGATAAGGAACGCTCCTATTGTTTGGAAACGTCAAGAATTTTAAAAGTGGCTCTCAGCGGTTCTACCTTACTATATTTTTATCATGATTAATACTACATATTATATTTTTTTTGTTTATTGAATTTATTGTGTAGTTTTTATCAAGTAGTACAGTAAATATTTGAATAAAAATGCTGTTTTGAAAAATACAAAAAAAACAGATTTTTTAATTTTTTAAAGAATTCTGCGATCAGAAATTTCAACTATTCCTCAGACTAGGGCCAGTAGGGCCAGTTTTTCAGAGCAGGTTTAAACTTAGATCACGTAAAAAGCTTCTCATAAAATCCATTTGCCGTTCAGAGGGGGCGTAAAATTATAGGTTGTTGTTGTTGATGTAGCGGCTACAACAACCCCGACCAGATCGGTTGATATCTCAGTCGTTGTCGTCAAGTTCCACTAACGGCAGCCCTAGGAAGCGTGCAAGCTCTATCCTGTCGCTGTCCTGAGTGCGGTGTTCTGTACAGTCTGT